ACGTTTTTGTCAATCTGATTTATCAACCATATGATTTGCAATTGTAACCTTTCGCATGACGCCATAATCACTTTCGAACCCAACACTGTGTTGGGTTCGAAAGTGATTAGGGCGTAATGCGGAATCTTATAATTGCAAATCATGACATTGAGAAATCAGATGACAAAAACTTATACTAAAAATCAAAATATTATTATATGGAATTTGGCCAACCGACCTTCATATGAAAAACTAATAAAAATATTAAAATTGTAGAGAGAAAATCTCCACATAGACAAAAGTATGTGAACGACTACATTGTAGATGCTATTGTTATACTATGAGAATAAAGATCTTCAATTTATAGATCTCCAAACTTTTCCTCTAAGGGTAGAATAAATCAAATATGATAGAAAATAACTTTTTCTTTTTAGAAAAAGTTAAATCATTTATAATAATACTTTGACTTTTCTTTTATGGAAAAAATAAATTTCAAATAAAATAAGAAAATCAAGGCAAAATCCTAACACACTACTCTAATATGCAAACATATGAAAAGTGAAAACTTAAGTTAAACATGTTTAATAGAGAAATATATGAACCCCTAATTAGGATATCTCAAGTGTAGAAGCGATGTGCAGCAAAAGTGCTAATTAGTAGGTCGAAATTAAAAGTGTGTAAGCAACTCGGTGAATTCGGTCAGTTACCATTTTCATAATCTTAAACTTTATTTTAAAGGAATAGGCGTAATTCATTACCAAGTCTCACGTTGAAAAACAAAAGTGAATTTTGGAAAAGGCAATCAAGTGTTTTTTGCACTAATTTTCTTGTCTCACCAACCTACTTCAAGGAAATGTTGACTCATTACATTTTCTAATTAGTCATAATTTTGTAGTTGCCTTACTATATATAGCCCATTATTTTGGCTTTCTCATCACCACACAATCAATTCCATTTTTCTTCTATCTTAATTGGCAAAACAAGAAGCTACCTATTTATTTGTGCAAAAAAATAATGACTTTGGCTAATGTACAAGCATTTTTGTTTCTTGTAGTGTTTTCCTTCATGTTTGTCCTTAGTATGGCAAACTTTAACTACACTTGGGCCGGAGGAAAGTGGAACAAAACCAATTGCCCCTATGGTAATAATCACCCAAATGCAACTCAAACTTCAAATAAGTTCAACGTTGGTGGTTCCGAAAATTGGCATTATGGCTTCGACTACATGGATTGGGCTCGCAAGAATGGTCCTTTCTTTGTCAATGACACTTTAGGTACGTACGTCTTCTTTCATTTTAAAAAATTGAAAGGAATATAGAGTTACCCATCGCTATTTATTGATGACAACTCTAAAAAAATAAAGGAGCATGCATTAATTATTTCCTTATTAGCTAATTTAAATTTCTAAATTCATTTATGTACGTATGCAACATGCAGTTTTCAAGTATGATCCACCAAATTCCAACGGTGGATTTTCACACAGTGTATACTTATTACCAAACTATTGGAGCTTCATAAAGTGTGACTTGAGAAGAGCTAAGAGGATAGCAAATCCGAACCAGGGTGCAGGGAAAGGATTCGAGTTTGTGCTGAAGAAATCAGAGCCTTACTTTTTTGCTTGTGGAGAGCATGGAGGCATACATTGCAACAACGGTACTATGAAGTTTGTTGTCATGCCACTCAAACGTTGGCCTTTCTGAGTTATGTTGTTGTTCCAAACTGTTGGAGAATTACGGCACCAAATACAATACTAGTTATAACTTTTTGCATTTTACTTATGTTTGGAACAAATTAGAATAACGTGTATTAAACTTATTTATTATTTATTGTAATTTTACTTTAATATGAATTTATATTGTATTTGGAGTTGTGACAAACAAAGATCGATTGATATTTGATTTGTTGAAAAAATTTAGTAATATTCTACGCAGTTTACGTGAAATTCTTAGGGAGCGATTCGACCATAAATTTTCAAATATTTTTGAGAAATTAGATTTGGGTGGAGTTTGAATTGAAGTTTCTATATTTATGTTTTGATCATAGTTTTTGAAAAACATATTCACTTTTTTTTATGAAAAACATAAAACATGTCTGATCTATTCATAAGTTTTAAAAAATTATTTAAATTATCAATCTATTTGACAAAAAAATATTATTTTTATAATGTACTAGATAATACATTTATCAAAAAATCAGAGCACAAACTTTTAATAAAAACTACTAATAACATGATTATAGATTGTTATAAATCGTCAAATTATAATTAATTACAAATATCCCAGGCAAGAATAATAATAATAATAATAATATAACAACAACAACCACGATAGTTGTTGAAATCTAGAGACAAAACTCCATTAACAATCTGTGATGAACCTCCATAGAAGCTTGAAGAAGAAAGAAGAAGAAGAGAGAAACTCTTCTGTGTATTGAAAAACTTGAGAATACAAAATACATGTTCAAGCTAATTTATACAACAATGTAAAATCAACCAGCTAACTACTAAAACAACTTAGCTAACTAATTATGTTTAACACTAACAACTGCACTAACTGACTCTAACTACTTTTTCTGTTAATTAGTCTAATCAATCTCAACAATAGTAAATAGCTATTCATTAATATATATAATCTTCCCACCTTAATATTCAAACCATTTCTTCACATCGAGTACACATTTTCAGATTATCAAAATCAAATGAACATTGTTACTTTGAAGGGTTGGGTATTTTGATTTATAGTTGGAGACATAATTGATAGACTTTTTTATATATATAAAATATAAAAGTTTGGAATAAATCTTAGAATTTTAATAGAACTTCACAAAGTATAATTTGAACTAAAATCACCTTGTTCTTCATTTTTCTAGATCTTGGTTTTTTACTAAAATATTTTGAACTTAGCAATATTTAATTAATTTCATTTTGGTTTTTCTTTATACTCATCTTTGAAGAACTCAACAATATTTATTTTTTGTTTTACTCACTGCCTTTTCCACAATTTGTCCCATTAGCTCCGGCCACAATGACTTACCTACACACACATTAACAAATACAATCTCACTTTTTTATTTTTGTAAGAGTCATTCGTTATAACAATATTGTTACAATTAAATCAGGTTATAAAATTTAACAGAAAATTAACTAAGCAGAAATCTTGCACTGTTCAAACGGACACCTAGCAGTACTCATATTTGGCTAATTAGTTCTCTAATTATATTATAGATGTGCAATTGTTTGTAGAAAATAATTCTGGGGTGTCTTTATTTATGGGTGAAATTTGTCTTTGGTTTTAATAATTTTTTCCGTATTTGAAAATTTACTTAGGAGTTGAAAAATAGAGAACTTAAGGTTAGTTATTTAATTTATTATCTTATATAGAGATATCAAACACATAATTATATTGGAAAAATACATAAATTGTATTCTAAATTCGTCACAAAAAAATATTTACACCCTCCAAAAATTTTTTCCCCTAACTGCATCAATTTGTACGTGCTTGCGCTAAAAGAATTTCAAAACAAATTAAAATGTTTGTTTTTTTTAGTACATTTTATTTTAACTAGTATATTTGTCCACATTTCTCACAGATTTATTTTGTGAAAACAAATATAATTTTTGTCAGGGATTTGCCTTGTTTTTTTGTTTCAAAGTAAGTATAACCTTAATTAGTTTTCCCTTTTTTGAAAGGAAATACTACTAAAAATATTAATTTTTTTCCATTAAAAAAAATGTTTACTAGCTATTCCTACAAATATTTTGATCAAATTGACGAGAAAAGAAAAAAAAAATCATACGAAAAAAAATTAGGAAGTTTCTCATTGTTGTAGTGAATATTTGTTCTCCGTCATGCATTTCATCATATTTAGTATTTATTACAATTTTAATGTTTTTTTTACAAATTAATTTACAGTCTGTGCCAAAAGTACGACGTACTGAACCCGATGCCAACGAGCTGCATCCGTGCCTCTATATGTGACATCTATTTAATTGATCGTAAACTATATGTACAAGTATAACTAGGAGTCAAAAATGAACCCAATTATAGGTAACCCGTCTAATTCGTCCAGAATTTTAGGGGTTGGGATCAAGATAATTTGAATTGGGTTCAATCTCAACCCATTCAAGCATAACCCATTTTAAGAGAATCCTCAATTGAGTCCAATTTTAATTTATCTCCAATTTCAACCCGTTTTAAAACTTTTTATTAAGATATGTTCCTATATTAAAGGTATGAATTATTATCTATTTAATATCTTTTAGGATTTATCTATCCATTTGTTACTTTTTTTTAAAAAAAAATCTTGAGTTGAAATTCAAATTGTGATTGTAAAAGTTAAATATCACTATGTTAAAATTATTGAGATTAAGCGGATCAAGACCCAACCCGTTTTTTAGCCCATTTGAGCCCAACCCATTTGAACTCAAAGTAAACTTGGGCGGGTCAAGACCCAACCCGATTTCTATTTCAACCCATTTTAATATCTCTAATTTCAACCCAACCCGCCTATTTGACACCCCTATGTACAACCACCGATATAAGTCATGGTATAATTTTTACTATAGCCACTGCTCTATGTGCAAACCTTTGAACACAGAAAAATAAGTAAAACTTGTAAAACATGTTTAATAGAGAAATAATATATGAACCCCTAATTATTTAGGATATATATATTTCAATTCTCAAGTGTAGAAGCAAATGCTCTAAATTCTAATTAGTACGACGAAAAGTGTCTAACAACTCAGTAAATTGGGTCCGTAACCACTTTGATATTCTTAGAAATGAATTTTGGGTGCAGTGGTGGACTTAGAGATAGTTAATTACCAAGTCTCATTTTGAAAAAGAAAAAAGGCAATGAAGTGTTTTTTGCACTAATTTTCGTGTCTCACCAACCAACTTCAACAAAATGTTGACTCTTTTTTGTTTTCTCATTTCCTAATAATTAGTCATATTTTTGTATTTGCCTTGCTATATATAGCCCATCATTTTGGATCTATCATCACCACAATCAATTCCATTTCTCTTCTATCTTCATTGGCTAAACAAGAAGCTACCTATTTATTTGTGGCAAAAATATAATGACTTTGGCTAATGCACAAGTATTTTTGTTTCTTATAGTGTTTTCCTTCATGTTTGTCCTTAGTATGGCAAACTTTAACTACACTTGGGCCGGAGGAAAGTGGAACAAAACCAATTGCCCCTATGGTAATAATCACCCAAATGCAACTAAAACTTCAAATAAATTCAACGTTGGTGGTTCCGAAAATTGGCATTATGGCTTCGATTATATGGATTGGGCTCGCAAGAATGGCCCTTTCTTTGTAAATGATACATTAGGTACGTATGTCTTCTTTCATTTTAAAAATTGAAAGGAATATATATAGAGTTACATGTCGCTATCTTGCTTATTAGCTTTAAATTTCTGAATTCGTTTATGTATGCAACGTGCAGTTTTCAAGTATGATGCACCGAACCCAAATGGAGGATTTCCACACAGTGTATACTTATTACCAAACTATTGGAGCTTCATCAAGTGCGACTTGAGAAGGGCTAAGAGGATAGCAAATCCGAACCAGGGTGCAGGGAAAGGATTCGAGTTTGTGCTGAAGAAATCACAGCCCTACTTTTTTGCTTGTGGAGAGCATGGGGGAATCCATTGCAACAATGGTACTATGAAGTTTGTTGTCATGCCACTCAAACGTTGGCCTTTCCGAGTTACGTTGTCTTTACGGCACCAAATACAATACTTAGTAACTTTTTGCACTCTAGTTTTGTTTGGAACAAAATAACGAGTCTTAGCGTTGAGTACACTTATTAGATACACTCCTATATTGGAATTTTATTTTGGATTTATTGTGATTGAAGTTTTGACAAAAAATAAATAAATTGATAATTAATGAGATATATCTATGTAACTATTTCATGTTCAGATATTTGAATTGTTTACGAAATCTTGCAGATAATTAAGCTTGAATGTTTGCACGTTTTTTACTATAATCTGCCTTTTGAGTTTTGCACTTTGTCATATGTATTATTTTAAAATATTTTTTGACTTGAAATTTGAAATAGAAAGAATCAGAGAAACTAGAGAATATGTTGATGAGCTGACTCACTGCATTATTTCTTGTATTAAGTTAAAATTAGACTACATCACTATTTATAGAGAATTAAAGTAAATAGAATAGAAGGGGTTATGGGAATATGCTATTTTCTTTATTAATTCTAAGCTAAAAAGAAATATATTCTACACAGACGCAAAATTTCCCTTCCGATATGTAATTTTTGAGGTATTCACTATAAGTTGAGTAATTTTATTGCGACAAAAATGTAAATAGCATGACTTTATTTGAAAAAAATTCAGTATATATATATAAAGTAGACAAAAAAATAGTGACGTGACACCTCTCAGTGATCAAGGATTCTATTTATCTTTTTTCTCCTTTATTTGACTTTTTTTTCATTTAAAAATTTATAAAATATCAATTAATTAAATGACACTAAATTCTACAAAAATTTAGTTATATTAAATTGTTTGCACATTGATTTACAAATTATGGCTATTGCACTACTTCTATCCGTTAGTGCCATTGACCTTATTAACTCTCATTTAGAGTGTCTTTTATGTGCAATATTTAGTGTCTTCGGTTACATTTCTCTCATAATTGTACAGCAATTGCTTTTGCACGTTAACTCTCATTTAGAGAGTCATATTTTTGCACGTAATGGCAATATATGCCTTCTTTATTGATCGTATGTAACATTTAGACTATTTGTTTATCTTATTAAATTTTCCATATTATTATTATTCATTGTAAGGTAGACTTTTTCATCTATAAATAGTGATAGTTTTACTTTATTTTGTGTACAAGAAAATATTAAATGCATAAAAATTGGTAAAAAAATGAGTTCTTATTAGTTGAAGAAATGTGTTCTTTTTAGATGGTCCAATTGGTTACGATTAATTAAGAGACTCAAGAATAAATATATGTTCAATTCAACTTATTTAAATTAAACGAACTATATTTTCATAAATTAAATCTGATGCATTTAATAAAAAATACGAGATAGCATACAAATGTTGCTGCCCCTGTAATAGGACGATGTACGTAGTAGTAAACATAGATCTAAACTGAAAACAACTTTATTGATAGTAAAATTCCATTGAAATAAGGATAGAAATTGCAGACATATTTGAAATTAAAATAGATACTCAATGGAATTTAAGCATGAAACTAGTGAAGTTCAACAAATAACAGGTGGGAGAGCAACCTTGTTGGTGTCATCAATAAAAACAATGACACGAGCACAATCCACTGGCAGTGGAATTGGCTTCGACATGTTCAACACCTTAATGTGAACACTTGGGTTCTCTGTCTGAATTACACTCACTGCTTTGGCCACATTTGTTCCCATTAGCTCCGGCCACGATGACTTACCTATATACACACATTAACAAATACAGTCACATTTCTCTATACCAATCAATCGTTATAACAACCAAAAGCGAAAAAATTAACTTACCATGCGGACGAACAGCCAGCAGTACTCATATTTGGCTAATTAATTCTAAAATTCTATTATAGATGTGCAATTGTTTGTAGAAAATCAGTCTGGGGGTGTCTATATTTATAGGTGTAATTTGTCTTTGGTTTTAATTTTTTTTTCCATATTTGAACATTTACTTAGGAGTTGAAAAATATACTTACAACTTAAGGTTGGTTATTTAATTTATTAACACATATATATAGAGTAGAGATATCAAACACATCATTATATTGGGAAAATAAATAAATTGTATTCTAAATTTATCCAAAAAAATTATTTACACTCTCCAAATATGTGTGGATTTTCTTACATTTATATTTTTTCCCAATAAAGAGTTGCGTGACATGGAAAGTGCTTTTGCCAAAAAAAAACGTTAAAATTGTAAGGAGATTTTACTTTGACTAATGCGCATATGTGAGTTAAAATTGTAAGGACATTTTTTCTATTATGTGGTTACCTATTCCAACTTTCATTAGTCATTCAAGAAGAAAACTAGAATAGTTTGTAAAAACTAGTATTTTTGTTAGCCACATAGATCTTGTTCATATGATTTAGTCGAAAATCATTATTCATTCCCATCCTGCATTATATTATTTTGAACATTTTAGTTTTGATTTGAGTACTGAGTTGAATATTAATGATTTCTTTGGGATTATGTAATTTTGATTTGACTACTTTAAATTTGATTTTTTATTTAAATAGTGTAGTTTTTATTTGAATGTTGTGGTTTTGAATACCGAAGCTTTTATTTAATAAATATCATTGTATATGTATAATATACATGATCATCGTATATGTATTGTATATTTGGCATAGCGCCGGTAATTACCAGACTCATTTTCTTTTCATTTGATATTTTTATATTATAATCATCAAAGACTAATTGAAGAATATGAAACCTTTATTTTAGTTAAATTAAGCCTTTATAGCTGAATGTTCTTGTGGTAGTAAGCTCTTAATTTTTAGGATGGTGAATGAATTATACATAGTGTCCCAAATGAATATTAATGAATGTGCACGTAATTTTCTGCGTACACTTTACCCTTTTCAGACACATTTATATAGATTACCTTCTTCTTCTTTTTTCCATATTGCCTCGTCAGATGAATTTTCTAGCAAAGTATTTTTTAGCATTTTTGTATAGTTCTAGGATTTACAAAAGAACTCGTTCCGTCTTTTGCAACATTAAGACGCAGACATGATTTTCTTGTAAAATTGTTTAACAATCAAAGTAAAATATTTCTATTATATAGAAGAGCGAAAATGACGACTAATGACATTTTAGTAATTTTAACATCATTTAATTTAAAGACAAAATAATAATTATGTGATAAAAGAATATTACGTCATTACAGATTATTCGAAAAAGAATAATATTTCTTAGTAAGACTTTATAGCATGATGAACCAAAAAGAAATGAACAAAGATAAATAAAACAGATGGAGGATAATCCTGATCATGCGGGGTTTTATCGATGCTATAGTTCTTGAACCTATGAACATCATAGTGTTGATGATGCAAATACGATCAGACATGATAATAATATTTTAAAGTTGCCTTCTTCTCGATTTTTTGACCAAAATAAGTTATTACTTAAATCAATTCATCAAAATAATAGGTTTTTAAAAATCTTTACTAAACTAGTATAAACGTACTTCACAGTAACGTTTTAGGGCATATTTTATTTTAAAAAAAATTAAACAGCGTTAAGTGAATATATGTTACTGCCAGTAACGATTTTAAATTAGAACGTATATAATAGGGCCCACATTTCTCAACCAAACGGTGTCGTTTGTTTTTATTACCTTCAATATCCATTACCTTTCAAACCTACTGATGTAAAACCCTTTCAAACCGCTGCTGTAAAACTCTTACCCTGATCCAAAAAGTTTCCAGCCCTCACAACTCCATTCCCAATCATCGCCGATAATTTATGGATGAAGAGAAGGTGTCAAAGAACAAAAAGAGAAGGTGTCAAAGAACAAAAACAAAGGAACACAAAGAATGGATCAAAACCCTTTTTGTAGATAAACGGTAGCTCTTATACTTTAAAATCAATTTTGGGGGTTTTCTTGTTTTAACGAGTTTCACGACAAATTACGGCTATAAATCTTTCGAAAAGCTTGGAACCAAGTTATTTTTTCTGTGTTTGAGGTATGCTTTTTCTTTTTTTTTTGATAAAATAGTTGAAGGAATGCTTGTATTTTAGAATTTCTATATTCTCGTATTTATATCATTTTTGTTAGGTCGAATAATGCTAAAAAGTTTCAGTCAAGCTGTCACGCCCTGAGCCTACACCCTGGGCGGGACTGACACTCGAGAACCATTGCTGCCCCCAAGTGAACCCTTGGTCTGACTTACTTACTCAGCGGAAGACTTAAACATAAGAAATAGTCTAAAAAGGAACTTATGAATTAAACTTAGAATGTCTTTTAAGGAAAACATTCAAACATACCAAAATGGCTATTCAAGTCTCATAGCAAAACATCTTAAATACAAGACTAAAGAACTATAACTACTCGTCTATGAAGCCTCTAAAACAAGGAGGGATGTCGGGACAAGACCCCGATCATCCTAATAGCTGAAATACTAAAAAATAATGTATAAAAGAAGTCATCCAGAAAGCAAGGAGGCTTACCAACTGACTCTGAGCTCAACTGGATCAACGAGGCGCTGAATGTTGATCCTGTTACCTATGTCTGCATCATAAAACGATGCAGGCTAAATGGCGTCAGTACATTGAATGTACGAGTATGCGAGGGGAATACTAAAACATAACGTAAGCTTGAAAATAATCTAAAAGTAACACTTACATTGGCTTTACTCAACTCATTAATAACTTAACTCAATATAAAGCAACAATACACATGCAATATATGGAAAGCTTTTAAAACAGTAGAAAGCAACTCAGTTTGTTAAAGAAATGCAATAACAACTCAATTACATATATATAAAGTAATATAATACTGTGGGAGTTTCTAACCGACAACCACTACTATGAGCCTAAGTGGTGATACAACGTCTTGCCCACGCTGCCAGAACTGTCCTATACTTTGCCTTTATATAGAACGCCTTAACTAAGTGGATTCACTAGTCTATGCTAAAAAGCACTAAGAAACCATCTAAAAAATATGATCATTTTCTACCAATGATGACTACATGGTTTATGGAAACTTGAATTATTATGAACTCGTGTCCCTATATCGGTGCTCAATACTACTCCTAAAATATACATAGCTCATAT